GTTTTTTGTTTGTTTTCGCTTGCCCGTAGGCTGCACTGGTCGCCCTGGGCTCGCCCGCTGCCTTTCGGTCGCCAGGCCCTTCGGCTGGCCCAATTCTGTGGATTTGTTTGTTTTCGTTTGTTTTCGCTTGTCCGTCGGCTGCGCTGGCCGCCCCGGGCTCGCCCGCCGCCTTTTGGTCGCTCGGCCCCTCGGCTGGCCCAATTCCTTGGTTTTGTTTGTTTTTCGTTTGTTTTCGCTTGCCCGTCGGCTGCACTGGTCGCCCCAGGCTCGCCCCCGCCCCCGCGGTCGCTCGCCCCCTCACGCGCTGGGCCACCGCACTCCATTAGTTTTGTTTGTTTTGTTTGTTTTCGCTTGTCCGTCGGCTGCTCTGGTCGCCCCCGGCTCGCCCGCCGCCCCGCGGTCGCTCGGCCCCTCGGCTGGCCCAGTTCCTTGGTTTTGTTTGTTTTTGTTTGTTTTTGCTTGCCCGTCGGCTGCGCTGGTCGCCCTGGGCACACCCGCCGCCTTTCGGTCGCTCGGCCCCTCGGCTGGCCCAAGTCTGTGGATTTGTTTGTTTTTGTTTGTTGTCGCTTGTCCGTCGGCTGCACTGGTCGCCCCGGGCTCGCCCGCCGCCCCGCGGTCGCTCGGCCCCTTGGCTGGCCAAATTCTGTGGGTTTGTTTGTTTTTGTTTGTTTTCGCTTGTCCGTCGGCTGCACTGGTCGCCCTGGGCACGCCCGCCGCCTTTCGGTCGCTCGGCCCCTCGGCTGGCCCAATTATGTGGATTTGTTTGTTTCTGTTTGTTCTCGCTTGTCCGTCGGCTGCACTGGTCGCCCTGGGCGCGCACGCCGCCGTTCGGTCGCTCGGCCCCTCGGCTGGCCCAATTATGTGGATTGTTTTTTTTTTGTTTGTTTTCGCTTGTCCGTGGGCTGCACTGTCGCCCCAGGCTCGCCCGCCGCCTTTTGGTTGCTCGGCCCCTCGGCTGGCCCAATGTTGTGGATTTGTTTGTTTTTGTTTGTTTTCTCTTGTCCGTCGGCTGCACCTGTCGCCCTGGGCTCGCCCGCCGCCCCGCGGTCGCTCGGCCCCTCGGCTGGCCCAATTCTGTGGATTTTTTTGTTTTTGCTTGTTTTCGCTTGTCCGTCGGCTGCACTGGTCGCCCTGGGCGCGCCCGCCGCCGTTCGGTCGCTCGGCCCCTCGGCTGGCCCAATTATGTAGATTTGTTTGTTTTTGTTTGTTTTCGCTTGTCCGTCGGCTGCACTGGTCGCCCCAGGCTCGCTCGCCGCCCCGCGGTTGCTCGACTCCTCGGCTGGCCCAATTCCTTGGTTTTGTTTGTTCTTGTTTGTTTTCGCTTGCCCGTCGGCTGCACTGGTCGCCCTGGGCACACCCGCTCTTTTCGGTCGCTCGGCCCCTCGGCTGGCCCAATTCTGTGGATTTGTTTGTTTCTGTTTGTTTTCGCTTGTCCGTCGGCTGCACTGGTCGCCCTGGGCTCGCCCGCCGCTCCGCAGTCGCTCGGCCCCTCGGCTGGCCCAGTTCCTTGGTTTTGTTTGTTTTTGTTTGTTTTCGCTTGCCCGTCGGCTGCACTGGTCGCCCTGGGCGCGCCCGCCGCCTTTCGGTCGCTCGGCCCCTCGGCTGGCCCAATGTTGTGGATTTGTTTGTTTTTGTTTGTTTTCGCTTGTCCGTCGGCTGCACTGGTGGCCCCAGGCTCGCCCGCCGCCCCGCGGTCGCTCGGCCCCTCGGCTGGCCCGGTTCCTTGGTTTTGTTTGTTTTTGTTTGTTTTCGCTTGCCCGTCGGCTGCACTGGTCGCCCTGGGCACACCCGCCGCCTTTCGGTCGCTCGGCCCCTCGGCTGGCCCGGTTCCTTGGTTTTGTTTGTTCTTGTTTGTTTTCGCTTGCCCGTCGGCTGCACTGGGCGCGCCCGCGGCCTTCCGGTCGCCCGGCCCCTCGGCTGGCCCAATTCTGCACTGGTCGCCCCAGGCTCGCTCGCCGCCCCACGGTCGCTCGGCCCCTCGGCTGGCCCAATTCCTTGGTTTGAGGGCTTCGAACGGGTGTTTTCGTTTGTTTTCGAATTGCCGTCGGCTTCTTTTGCACAGGTCGCCCTGGGCACGCCCGCCGCCTGCCCCCCCCCCCCCGCGTCGCTAGGAACGCCACCTTGGCACAAAAATGTGTGGATTGTTTGTTTTTGTTTGTTTCGCTTTGCCACCGTCGGCTATGCACTGGTCGCAATGGGCGCACCCGCCGCCCCGCCTTTCGGTCGATCGGCCCCTCCGTCTGGCCGAATTCTGTGGAGATTTGTTTGTTTCGCTTGCCCGTCGGCTGCACTGGTCGCCCTGGGCTCGCCCGCCGCCTTTCGGTCGCTCGGCCCCTCGGCTGGCCCAATTCTGTGGATTTGTTTGTTTTTGTTTGTTTTCGCTTGCCCGTCGGCTGCACTGGTCGCCCTGGGCTCGCCCGCCGCCCCGCGGTCGCTCGGCCCCTCGGCTGGCCCAATTCCTTGGTTTTGTTTGTTTTCGTTTGTTTTCGCTTGTCCGTCGGCTGCGCTGGTTGCCCCAGGCTCGCCCGCGGCCCCACGGTCGCTCGGCCCCTCGGCTGGCCCAATGTTGTGGTTTTTTTTTGGTGTTTTTGTTTTCGATTGCCCAGAGGCTCTGCACGGTCGCCACGGGCTGCCCGCCGACCCGCGGCCGACTCGGCCCCTATCGGCTACTGGCCCAATTCCTTGGTTTTGTTTGTTTTTGTTTGTTGTCGCTTGCCCGTCGGGTGCGCTGGTCGCCCCGGGCACGCCCGCCGCCTTTCGGTCGCTCGGCCCCTCGGCTGGCCCAAGTCTTTGGTTTGGTTTATTTTTGTTTGTTTTCGCTTGCCCGTCGGCTGCACTGGTCGCCCTGGGCGCACCCGCCGCCTTTCGGTCGCTCGGCCCCTCGTCTGGCCGAATTCTGTGGATTTGTTTGTTTTCGCTTGTCCGTCGGCTGCGCCGGTCGCCCCAGGCTCGCCCGCCGCCCCGCGGTCGCTCGGCCCTTCGGCTGGCCCAATTACGTGGATTTGTTTGTTTTTGTTTGTTTTCGCTTGTCCGTCGGCTGCGCCGGTCGCCCCAGGCTCGCCCGCCCGCCCCGCGGCGCTCGGCCCCCTCGGCTGGCCCAATTCATTGTTTTTGTTTGTTCTTGTTTGTTTTTCGCCTTGTCCGTCGGCTGCGCTGTCGCCCAGGCCTCGCACGCCGCCCCGCGGTCGCTCGGCCCCTCGACCGGCCTCAATTCATTGGTTTTTGTTTTGTTTTTTGTTTTTTTCGCTTATCCGTCGGCTGCACTGGTCGCCCCAGGCTCGCCCGCCGCCCCGCGGCAGCTCGGCCCTACGGCGGGCCCCATCCATGGTTTTGTTTATTTTTGTTTGTTTTTGCTTGTCCGTCGGCTGCGCTGGTCGCCCCAGGCTCGCCCGCCGCCCCGCGGGCGCTCGGCCCCTCGGCTGGCGCAATTCATTGGTTTTGTTTGTTGTTGTTTGTTTTCGCTTGTCCGTCGGCTGCGCTGGTCGCCCCAGGCTCGCCCGCCGCCCCGCGGGCGCTCGGCCCCTCGGCTGGCCCAATTCATTGGTGTTGTTTGTTCTTGTTTGTTTTCGCTTGTCCGTCGGCTGCATTGGTCGCCCCAGGCTCGCCCGCCGCCCCGCGGTCGCTCGGCCCCTCGGCTGGCCCAATTCATTGGTTTTGTTTGTTTTTGTTTGTTTTCGCTTGTCCGTCGGCTGCGCTGGTCGCCCCAGGCTCGCCCGCCGCCCCGCGGGCGCTCGGCCCCTCGGCTGGCCCAATTCATTGGTTTTGTTTGTTCTTGTTTGTTTTCGCTTGTCCGTCGGCTGCACTGGTCGCCCCAGGCTCGCCCGCCGCCTCGCGGTCGCTCGGCCCCTCGGCTGGCCCAATTCATTGGTTTTGTTTGTTTTTGTTTGTTTTCGCTTGTCCGTCGGCTGCGCTGGTCGCCCCAGGCTCGCCCGCCGCCCCGCGGGCGCTCGGCCCCTCGGCTGGCTCAATTCATTGGTTTTGTTTGTTCTTGTTTGTTTTCGCTTGTCCGTCGGCTGCACTGGTCGCCCCAGGCTCGCCCGCCGCTGTTCGGTCGCCCGGCCCCTCGGCTGGCCCAATTCCCTGATATTGTTTGTTGTTGTTCGTCTTCGCTTGTCCGTCGGCTGCGTTGGTCGCCCCAGGCTCGCCCGCCACCCCGCGGGCGCTCGGCCCCTCGGCTGGCCAAATTCACTGGTTTTGTTTGTTTTTGTTTGGGTGGTCGCTGTCCGTCGGCTGCGCTCGGTCGCCCCAGCTCGCCCGCCGCCCGCGGGCCGCTCGGCCCCTCGGCTGGCCCAATTCATTGGTTTTGTTTGTTTTTGTTTGTTTTCGCTTGCCCGTCGGCTGCGCTGGTCGCTCCAGGCTCGCCCGCCGCCCCGCGGGCGCTCGGCCCCTCGGCTGGCCCAATTCATTGGTTTTGTTTGTTCTTGTTTGTTTTCGCTTGTCCGTCGGCTG